AGACTCAATCAGGAAACAGAGAATCGCAAAGTTTATTTCCTCCCAATATGAGCTGATAACTTTTGAGTCTGTAAAACTTGCTTTCCTCCTCGTACACACAGGCTTATGGTGTGAGTTTAGATTTTCACAGCATTTCTGTAAACTGCTGGTAGTTACTAACCTCTTATTTTTTACAGGCTCATAGTTTTTACAGGCTGGGATTCAAGACTTCCCCGCGAAACGGCATCGCTCGCTTTCTGTTTTCCCAACTCCCCTTTTCACCTCGTCCCAAAAGGTCTTGTTTTTCCCCTTTGCTTCCCTGTCCAACCCCTGCTGGAAACGTCAGCTGGAATGGAAAAATTGAGACTGAAACACTGGGCGCTTTCATTCCTGGCGAATGGTCCCTTCTCTGCTTCCTCCCCTGGGGTTGGCGGCTCCCAAGGAGGTTGGCACATCTCAGGGAGAATTTTGTTGTCTGCCTTGTCTTCTGCTGCCTGAGCTGACTTCCTTACACTGGCAGGGTATTGAAGTAAGACCTTTAAAGTCTTTAAAGGGATGCCCTCATTAAAATTCACAAGGAGTAGATAACTCTCTGAAATTCATCTTTGCATCTCATGCCCTTTTATTTTTGGATTCTCTTCTTTCTCTCGGTAGGTCAGTTACACAGTAAGGACAGGGTTTGGTCTATCTTGGAGGTTTGGATTGGATATTAGGAAGAATTTCTTCACCAAAAAGGTTATCAAGCATTGGAAGAGGCTGCCCAGGGGAGCAGTGGAGTCCCCATCCCTGGAAGGATTTAAAAGCCAGGCAGATGTGGTGCTGAGGGATATGGTTTGGTCATGGTTTGTCAGTGTTAGGTTGATGGTTGGACTCGATGATCTTAAGGCTCCCTTCCAACCTGGACTATTCTATGATTGGGGTTCTTCACTGTGAGGGTGGTGGAGCACTGGAACAGGTTGCCCAGGGAGGTGGTTGAGGCCCCATCCCTGGAGATATTCAAGGAGAGGCTCAACGAGGCCCTGGGCAACCTGGTCTAGTTGGGGGTGTCCCTGCTGACTGTGGGGAGGTGGGACTAGATGACCTTTGGAGGTCCCTTCCAGCCTGGGCAATTCTATGATTCTATGTTTTTTGCTGCTTTGGTTTTGTTGTTGTTAACTCTCTTTCTCCTCTGAAAGTGTAGTACTGATTAAGTTTATCTTTGGTTATTGAGCCCTGACTATAAATGTCTTGAAATAGTCATTAGTAAATAAGAGTTGAGTCATGCTGGCTGGCTTCAAAATTCACCGTGGCTTTTGTTTTCTATAAATCTGTCTGCCTCTTCCACTTTATTTTTTTACATAGAACCCTTCTCGTTTGCAATGTTACAGCCAGGCAAAAATGAAAATTGAATTAAGAAAGAGATTGGAATAGAGGTTTTGACAAATTTGCTGTAGTCCACTTCTGCCAGAATTGGGAAGTCAACCTGCCTGATCTGAGCACATTCCAAATCTGATGGTTAGGTCCTGGCTACGTGTATTACTCCCTACTGTAATAATTGCTCCCACTGCTGTGATAATTCACGTTAATCAAATTGTTTTCCTGTTCTCTTGTTTTCTTTTGCAGAAATGGAGCAGTGTGAGCAACCCACTCTTCCTTCCCCTGATCCCACCTCAGTCCCAAGGGTTCACAGCCGTAGTCCTCACCTATGACCGGGTGGAGAGCCTTTTCCGAGTCATCACGGAGGTGTCCAAAGTGCCCAGTCTGTCCAAATTGTTAGTTGTCTGGAACAACCAGAACAAGAATCCACCTGAAGGTAAGACCCCATGGTGGGTGGAAACTGGGAGTAGCCTGCCTACTTGCACCTCTTACTGAATAATGTCTCTTTTCACTGAATTTCACTGAATTTTAGAGTTGGAAGGGACCATAGAGATCATCTAGTCCAACTCCCCTGCTGAAGCAGGATTGCCTAGAGTTTGTCAGAGCATGTTACTCAGGAGCATCCGGGGGGGGGTCTTGAAAGTCTCCAGAGAAGGGGACTCCACACCCTCCCTGGGCAGCCTGTTCCAGGGCTCTGTCACCCTCACCGTGAAGAAGTTTCTCCTCATATTTGAGTGGAACCTCTTATGTTCCAACTTGTGCCCGTTGCCCCTCGTCCTCTCACTGGGAACCACTGAAAAGAGTCTGGCTCCCTCCTCCTTCAACCCTCCCTTGAGATACTTGTAGGCATTGATAAGGTCTCCCCTCAGCCTTCTCTTCTCCAGACTAAAGAGTCCCAGCTCTCTCAGTCTCTCCTCATAAGGGAGATGCTCCAATCCTTGAATCATCTTTGTTGCCCTTCGCTGGACTCTTTCTTTTCCTTCATTAATATGTCTTCAAAAATCATTTCGTGGTTACTTTCAAAATAAATAAATTTGGATTTTTTTCTTTTTGTGGCAATGTTTTTGAAAGCAAAATGAGAAAAGCCAAAGTAGATCCAAAGGAAAAAAAGCACAGCAGTGGTTGTGTTGCTAACTTCTGGATCAAAGGTAACAGAGACAATAAAGAAGCATTCTGTCCTTAACTTCATTTTGGGGAGTCAGAAGGAGATTCTGTCTTTGATTTGTCCCTGGTTGGTTTTATTTCTCTATAGACACTGTCTCATCGTAGCGATACTGCTTCTGCTGGGCTGTTTTCTAGGGCAAATGGGGTTCAAAGCAGTTTGAATGCTTGGAGCTACAAAACAAGTGAATCTTTTGATTCATGAAAGGAAAACTTGGGACATTTTGGGTGTCTGGAAGCAGTTCCTGCATCACCAGAATATCTTGTGAAAATGGTATGGGCTAGCCCAAAAAGACAAGACATATGTGCCTTTGTTTAAATGTTTCTGTTTCCAGCACATATGATACTATGCTCCTTTTTATAGTCTTTATGAATAAATCTGGTGAAGTCTACATAATATTTTATGTTTTTTTTTTTTAATTCATGTCTATTGTAAAGTGAGGGCACATTCAGACCTTTTCCCAAACGATTTCAGTGTGTAGCTTTTTGGAAGACGACCTGGTTTCAAAAGTATATGAATAACTCCGGTGTAAACTCAGTGCTGTAAATCTCTGAATTAATTTGTTTAGTTTTCAGTAGCTGAGGTGTGCTTTGCTGGCGTGGGGAGCTGCTGGCCTGACTCTTATCCCCTCGTGGTAGGACCTCGGTGGTAGGATGAGCTGCTTCCAAGTTCTGAACATTAACACTAAAATCCTGAGCGTTGTTTTGGGCGATAAAAGCCTCCTTTTCTCACTCTTGATCGAATATTGTAGATAGAGTAGCTCTAAATTACTGTATTTCCTGTGTGCTGTACGTAGGAATCTGTCGTTCTTATCTGAAATCCTGGGCTGCATCAAAAGAAGCGTTGCCAGCAGGTCCAGAGAGGTGATTCTGCCACTTTACTCTGCTCTGGTGAGACCTCACCTGGAGTATTGTGTGCAGGTCTGGAGCCCTCAATATAAGAAGGATATAGACCTGATGGAGAGGGTCCAGAGGAGGGCCACAAGGATGATCAGGGGGATGGAGCACCTCTGCTACGAGGACAGGCTGAGGGAGCTGGGGTTGTTCAGCCTGGAGAAGAGGAGGCTCCGGGGAGACCTAATAGCAGCCTTCCAGTACCTGAAGGGAGCCTACAGGAAGGCTGGGGAGAGCCTGTTTAGAAAGGCCTGCAGTGACAGGACGAGGGGCAATGGCTTCAAGCTGGAGGGGAACAGATTTAGACTGGAGATGAGGAGAGGGTTCTTCACTGTGAGGGTGGTGGAGCACTGGAACAGGTTGCCCAGGGAGGTGGTTGAGGCCCCATCCCTGGAGATATTCAAGGAGAGGCTCGACGAGGCCCTGGGCAACCTGGTCTAGTTGGGGGTGTCCCTGCTGACTGCGGGGAGGTCGGACTAGATGGCCTTTGGAGGTCCCTTCCAGCCTGGGCAATTCTATGATTCTATGATTTCAGTGGGAGAAGAAATGTTGCCCTCTAGGAATACGTGTTAAAAAAAATCTGCTATAATTGGTGATACAGAAACTTGTGGATTCTTCTCCAGCGAACGATGTGCGTTGTTAGGACTCCTTGCTTCGTGATTCTCTTTCCAGAGGCTTCAGCTGCTGCTGTTTCCCCCTCGTTGAAGGTAGCTATTCTGCACAGTAGCAAAATATGGTGTAAAAATCAATCCCTTGTCACAGCTCTGTAATACTCCTGTGCTAAACACCCCCAGTTCAGCGGTTTATTAGATGCTTTGCAGTCCTTAAGAGTAGGAAGTGTTACGTAGAAATTGATGATAACTGGGATTTTCACAATAAGAAGGTTTTTTTCCTCTAAAAGCAAAAATGCTGTTACATTTGGTTACGGGAGCCCTGAGTGTGGGTGGATTTAACACAAATGGATTGTTTCCACATTTCCCTTGAGTGACTCTGAGATACAGGAGAGTCCAAGCAAATAAATCATCGGAACGAGCTTTTTGGCTAAATCAGTCTAATAATCTTGCATGTAGAAATTCTTGAAAATTAAAGTCTGTTTAATTTTTTCCTGCTTCAATGGCCACTAGTTTCAAAACAAACAGAATCTTTTCCCTCTAAAAGCTTAAAATTGTGGATGTGAGAGCCCAGTTCTGCCCTTACGTTAGCCTAAGCGTTGCATCGAAGCAAATAACTATTTGTTTCTAGTGTCCCTTGTCCCTTTATTGCTCTTATAATCATTGTAATCTCTTGGCCTATGGCTAAAGAGAGGTCAGTTTGATTAAATGAACTTGTTTTATTCCAGATCCACGCGGGGCATTCCACTTGGCTCTTCAGCCGGCCTCTCCTTCGCTCCCTCTATTAGTGATCCTAATCCTTGGACTTCAAAGCCTCTGCTGTTTATAGCCTGTTAAAGCCAGGAAGTTTCTGATGGATTAGAGCAAGGAATGAGTTTGAAGTTTGTAATGTGCACCACTGACACTGATAAAGTCTGGTTTATTACCCTACAGTAGTATCTGCACTTTTATGGCTATTTGCTTTTAATTGGTTATAGTAAAGCCCAGGTGCTTAACCTTTTGGAGCATCAAGCTCTGTATTTCCTGGTCCTTTCCATCTAAGGGACACGTTTTGGTCCAGAAAGGAATCTTGGCTTTTCTTTTTGCGACCCTTTGTGTGTGTGTGTGTTTTGTTTTGCACGTGGAAGTGCGAGGGCTGGGTGAAGGACATCAGAATTGTCTGCCTTAGTCATTAGGTGCGGTAAATTGAGCCCTTAATTTAGGGCTCCTGAGATGTAGCTGACGTGGTGCCATGCAAATAAGGACATGGGGCTGCTCCTTTCTTTCCAGATAAATACTGGAGTCGAAAATGACATTGCTAAAAGCAACATGGATTGGAAATAGAGGGGATCTCTGCCTAGGAATGGCACGTTTTGGAGTACGTGCACTAGAATGTTGGTTTGGGGGTTTTGTTGGGTTTTTTTAAAGGAACTCGTAAATAATACCTTTATATAAAGAAACTCAGCAAACTCAGGAGGAAAACGAAATGAAAATGAAATATCCTATTCTAAATATTGGGTTTTGTTGGGTTTTCTTAAATGAACTCATAAATAATGCCTTTATATAATGAAACTCAGCAAACTCGGGACTTAGGAGGAAAATGGAATGAAAATGAAATATCCTATTCTAAATATTGTACAGAATTTAAGATGTTGAACCCCCCAACAAATGCGACATTCCCTTAGATAAAAATCCCTTTTTTTGCTTGTTCTCAGCACTTAGACCTTTTCACTCAAACTTTACTATTTGTTGGCAAGATCTGAGAAGGAATTAATGGTGCTTTTTGTCAGGCAGTTGCCAGGACTGAACTGTGGTTCCTCTGCCACTGGTGCTGCAGAGAGATCCCAGTAAGAGGCTGAACTGGTTTCCACTGCTGCGCTATGGGATGGGACTGGGTATGGGGAGTGCACAAAGCTTATGGAAAAGTAAATCTCTGCCCGTCAGGACAGATGAAGCTCTGATACAACTGACAAATCTTTTGCCACGTTGGCTGATAATAAATAAAGAACTGGTTAATTGAACACCTGACTGGAAAGCTTTCACCTAAAGAAAACAGGAAAGTTTAAAGTTGAAGAAAAAGTAGCTACGTGTATATGGGCTAGAAATCAGCAGCAATTTAAGGACTGGTTTTCCCTTTGTCCTATGAGTTTGCAAGGACCACTCTTGTGACTTAAAATGTTTGAGAGCGACGTGTGCAAGTCCATATTCTGTGTTTCCTTTAGAATCAGTGAAAAAAAACCAGCAGCTCCATCCAGGCTGCATCAGAGATTTATTTTAGAGTGAACTAAATCATCCCTCCAGAAGTCACCCCTTTTTCCCCTGCTGGTACCCAAACATGGTGAAGGACACATAGGCTGTCTCACAAGGTTGAGAAACAAGCAAAAATTAGTGAGTGCTAAAAGTCCCCTTGTTTCAATTCTTTTTCTTGGGCCACTAGTTCTTGTAGCAGGAACACTGATCAGACATAATTTTGCCTGCTGAATGGGAGCAACTCATTTCTTACTGTGCCTCAATTTCCACATCTATAAAATGAATACAACAATATTGTCTTAGATAAAATGCTTTGAGGTCTATGGCTTAAAATTGCTATGTAAGGGGCATTAATTATATCATTATTATTAGGTAGATGCTGAGATTTCTAATTAGAAAGTGTCTACTTTGAAATCAAAGTAAAATATAAATACATTAAAATATAAATAATGAAAGAAGCTGCTTTCTAGAGATTTAATTTAATCTGAATACCTTGAAAACACTTAAAAAATGTATGTATCCTGGCAATATAACTGGTAAA